GTAAGTCTACAGCAAGTAAAAAGCCTCTAAATTCAGCAACACGCCGACTGTTATGAGATACCGAAATTCCTTTCGGGGGAAAGAAAGAACAAAATACAAACAACATGAGCGTAGCCAGCCCAGGCCGAAGAAAGCGCGGCGCTCCTGCAGCAACCGGCACCGGGTGCTGCAGGTGCGAGGGCCTATAAGGCAGCCCACCAGGCTAAACGCCTATCGAGGCGAGGCCGGAGGCTGGGGCTCATGGACATGCAGCTTTCCACCAGAGAACCCCCTCTCTGTGGTGCCGTCTCGTGTGCTTTGACCATCTCCAAAGCAGCTCTCTACGTGGGACATTCCTGGTTGGGAAGGTAACGGCTCAATCCGGGACGATGTGCGTCCTTTAGAAGCTTAGCGGTGTGATTTACTTGTGAATGAGTCAAAGATGGAAACATGTTTTGTTGATTGGGGTTGTCTCCAGCATACGTCAGATTCGTGGACATGCCTTTTCCCAGACTCTTTGCTTGGCATCCATGTTTTGGGAACCAACCGCGAACAGGTCATCACACCTGGAGTCATCTGGATGCCTTGGTCAGTGCGCAGTTGCATAGAGTGGCTGGTCAGCCATTGAAACAACCAACCAGGTCAACTTTGTGGCATTGGTGGGGAAACAGTCATTCGATTCTCTAAAAAGTCCGAATGCTTGTTCGCTCGAACCGTCTGAGGCCGCCAAGCTGTGCACATAATTGTCTTGTCGTCTTGTCGCCAACCAGGGAAACAAACGTTACGGCGAGTGACATTTGGCTTCCAAACTTCTGAGCAAAAGTTCGGGGCGAATTCGCTGAAAGGGACATTGAGTGGCCTGTTCCCTGAGCTTTTCCTCGAGTTCGGGCTCAAGTTTTCGCGTGCCTTCGGCCATCTGGCCCTGGTGACCAGTATTCGCCAGTCCGTAAGGGTCAGCATGGTGCCTCACCGGAGCTGAGTGGTTTGTCGGGGTACAAAAGAACTTGCATTTTGTTTGGTGGACTTTATCTGGGAAACCCAACCCAAAGGAGACAAAAGGATGGACTGACTGGACAACTAGGCAAAATGCATCTATCCATGTAACAGCTTGCCAAAATGTGACTGGGCGAAGAACTATGATTTGTCTGGCAAGAACGACACTCCTTAGAAAGGGCCTTCATCATAGAGACCGAGCTCGTCTTGCCCCTAGCTCGGGCTCCAGAGTTTGGATTCCAAGCTTTTGTCCATGCCCCTCCTCAGCATCTTCAACTTGTATGAAAGCTTACAAAAGATTTGTGTGGGCCTTACCAAGATGCATTCAAGCCTGCAAGGGCCTACATGGGGAGTTCGGTATAGTCTCACGACAGTCTCTTTAGCACATCTGTATTGATTGTGCTTGACAGAAGGCAAGACTGAAAAAGGGACATGAGGGCAGCATGCTCGGGACACCTACAAGGACTCGATGCGCAAAGCACGTAATCCATGTGCCAAGCAATCGCTAAACCGCCTTGACTGTCGCTCATTCAGCAATTCCACTTGGTTGCTCAACCTCAGTTTGCCCAGTGGCTACCATTGTAAAACGAGGCCTGTTGTTCTTCTGCTGATTGTCTTCCCAGGGTGCACATCAGATGGTAAATGTGGATGGATACCGCTGGACAACTCGGCCCGAGCTTGCCAAGAGAGAACCACCCCAACAAACGAGGTGGAATATGTCCACGGGCAACAGCACTGGTGACAAGACTGGATTCATGGTTTAGTGATTTCTTGTTCATTGCCTCTTGGCAATATCCATCCGCAACAAGATGCATATTCGAGCTGGCTTTCGTCAGATAGAGATTCTGCTGCTCGTAGAATCTGCTTGCCAGTAAGACATCTTCTTTTCTCCCTCTTCTCACAGATTTTGAGGCGCGGCCTTTGCATTTCCTGGCCTTTCGTAGTGACATGCAGACTTGTGGGTCTCCGAGTCTCTTGGTTAGAACCACTTGAAGCAATAGTTCTCCGCCAGCCTTCTCTTGCTGCACCATGTCTACATTCTGATTACAATAATTCAGACATCGAAACCTGGAGCTCCCTGTATACATCCAACAACAAGTGCAATCGGCCCATCCGCCCCGCGAGGATTGCTCACAAGAAGGGTGCTTCTCTTCCTTCTTTTTTTCTTGGGGGGGCGGATGGAGGGAAGAATCCATTACCTACGCAGAAGTGAGCCATTTTCCTTTGGCTTTCTAAAGGCATCCCCCACCATATGAAATGGACAAACATCCTTTGCTTCCCAAGCCTGAAAAAAAGGACCAGGTAAGGTCACGGCGCAAAACGCAGACCGAAAGCAGGAAACACAAGCTCAAAGGTTGGTTGGCTTGGGAGTGAGTAACCATAGATAGCCGTAAGCAGCCCGAAGCAGCCAGAAACAGCCATAAACCAGCAAAAACAGCCAACACCAGCCAAATGCAGCTATGGGACACCGGGAATACACAGCCAAGAACTAGTCATAGGCCGCGAACGGCCATACACACGGGCATGAACAACACGACGGCCATCTCTGGGGTCCCCGGCTGTAGTTGAAGGGGTCCCCGAAGAAGCCGAAGGAGTCAAACTGGTGCTCCCAAATGTGGCGCTCGTTGTCTGCCAGGATCTCGTGCTTGGGGCAGAGTCCTACAAGCTCCCCCCGTCGAAGCGGAAGATCGAAGGGCTTGGGAAGGCTGGCCAGTCCACTTTCATGGTCGAAAAAGGGAAAACACAAATGCGACATCCAAACAAAAACTTGAACTCATGAGGTCAACGCCGCATGGCACGTCCTGCGATCGCTGCGCCACCGTCCCCCACAGAGCGCAGCTCCGGTACCTGCTGACGCCCCGCCAGGGTCGACAGGGCCTGGTACATCTCCAGAGCCTATGCGAAAGGCGAAACATGGAGCCACCGTTCCGGAACCGCTCTTGGAACGCTGTTGAAATCCATTTAGTACATCATGTGGGAGTGTGTCAAACCTAGGAAGTCTCAAACCATGGTATCATGCTGCTTCCTCCTTTGTGCACATCAGCCCCCAGTCACTCTTTGGCTCACTTGCAACCAAAGGACCTGGAGAATAAAGGTGACCGCCTTTGGGGGCCTTGACTCAAAATGGACCGATAACCCACCTTGAAAACTCTCAAATTGAAAAACGGTGGTGATGTCTGCTAAACCCCTACCATGTAACCATCCCTGGGTTTCTAACAGACCTCATTGATGGGTGAAAAGGCTTTGCGCATGGTCACGCAACAAGCCAGGCCAGGCCTCTCCATGCTCACCTCAGCTCGCACATCATCTCTGAACGGGATACCAACCGAACTCGACTACGTGCCGGCATTTGCTGTTGTCCCAAAAGTTGCAAGTCATCAGGTCCGCTTCGAACTGGGGGAAACGTGTTCAGAATGGGGCAAAGTTATGTTCAAAAAGTCCCAGTCTTGGCAAGTTACGAGTAGCTCCGGTCTCCAAATTCCAGGCGGATTCACCAAGCCTACTTTCTCCGCCTACAAAGAAAAAAAACAGTTCAGCCCCTAGTTTCTTCAAGGCCAACCAGAGCAGAAAGGGCCTGCCGAAAAGAGTGTTGGGTTGTGTTCCATGTCGCCAACGGCCTTCCTCAAGTGGGGAACTGGGGCGCGAGAAAAGGGAAACCAAATTTGGGAAGGACACTTTTGGGTCATGATACTCAGAACTCCGATCTTGGGAAAGTGGCCACAACCTATGGGGTGACTTTGAGATTGGTAGATGTGCGCAGCCCAACAGTCAGTGCGCAAACGGGCCCCGTCTTTGCATCATTCTCTAAGTCAGCCCAAAGAAGTAGGTTCTACAAGAAAAAGCTGTGTCCTACATCGCCGACTCAACTGTTTAAACATGCTAGTCCCTTTCAAGGCGACCAAAGCAACCTGATGTTTTGGCCAACTTTTCCCCATACTTAGGATGGGCCCAGCTCTCTCTCGTTTCGCGAAGTCCCTGTTTCGATTCAAGGCAAGGCTCTGACAAAGAGTTTCGAAAGCGCCACATCGCAAAAATCCGAGGGGCCTGGGCAGTTGGATTCCGGATCCAAGATGCGTTCCAGTTATTGGCGAACGAAAGCCCGAGATCCGGGCGGGTGATTCTCAGCAGGCCGCAGCTGCCCCGCACAGTCACGGAGCCCCGGCGCCAAGCCTTGAGCGCCGTCGCCCCTGTTGGACAACCTCTAAAAAGCACAAGCCTATGGTTGGCCCACTATTTTGATCACCATGGTTGGCTTTGCCTCCCTCTCTTTACAGGGAAGCTGACAGAAGGTCCTTTCAGAAAAACAATCTCCGGGTATCTTGTCTCAGGTTCCTTGTTAGTGAGGGGGTAAATCAAAAAGGACGTCTGCTATTTCGCCAACCACCCTTCAACAGGAAGCCAAAAACGACTTTGAGGGGTCCAACATTCCTTCTTGACATTCCCACGCGTCAAGTTGAGGCCCATCCTTCAATGTGGACTCAGGGTGAATAAGAATGAAAACGGCTTTAAGAGGAGCAAACTGGAACCCCCCCCACAGATCCTCCGGCCTCGTCCGAGGAGCCAGCCCGAAGCCTGTCCTGGCACAAAGGCCGGGCCGGCATGTCCAGCTGCGCCAAGGAGATGCGACCAATCTTGAAGCTGTCCTCAGCCAAGGTCCGACGCCATGTTGCGTCTCGGTTTTTCTTTGCAGACCCGTGCCAAAGTTGTGACTTGGCTTGGAGTTGTATTCCCATTCTGGTGATTCCCAGCTCACTCCTTTTGACTCCCTTTTGCGGCACATTGTCAAGTGACACCCCCGAAAAGTAGATTGACAGTTCGCATGCCAAAACAAACTCGAGCGCATTGTTTTGCTTGGAGAAGGTTGTGCCTTGTTCAGCCTTGTGCAACCATGTCACAACTGTTCAAACTCTTGTGGTTCTGCTTGCAAAATGCCCCTTCATGGATCAATAGTCGGCCCACTTCACCCTGTTCCCGTTTTTGTTGAGAGGGTGTTTGGAAAATAATGGCCATGAACCGCCTCACCATCTCCTTCAGGCGGAGGCCATGTCCAATAAGTTGCTAAATTGGCACTTCAAGGAAAACCCCTGGTGCATGATGGCCACCCAGAATTTCGCCTGAACAGAGTGCACGTGCCGCTCGCTGTCTTGGCGCCTGCCGTTGACGACTCAAAGAACGGGAAACCAAATGCAGGCAACACACAAACGGGTCGCCCCTGCCTAAACCTTGGCACACAAACACAAAGCCAACCCCCAGCTCCGTTCGTGAGATGTGCAAACTACCTAGCCTCAACTGATTGGCTCTGACTGACGCCTCCCCTCCTCACCAATCTGTTCTGAATCCCAGGCCACACGAGCCTTTCAAACTGAGGCGAGCGCCCGGAAAGACATGTCTGAACGCCACACCAATGCCATTGAACAAGTGTGGCAATGAAGTTACATTTAACTTTGGCAAAATGGGTGTTGGCAGGGCGCACTTTTGATAAAGTAATGGCTTCTTCATCTCTGACAACCGGAGAGAGGCTAACCTTTCTCAAAGCACCCAAGCCTTGCCGAGCGTCCAGTTGGAAGGAGGTGCCCCCGTACCAAGCCGGGCACAGATCCGCAGGGAAGAAGGAAGGTGGGGGCCGGCGGGTCATATGGATCAGCCGACCCCAGCTGGAGAGCACGTACAAACTCTGCACCTGGCACGAAACCTCGCCTTTCAGAGCCTCACGAAAGGGGTTCTACCAGGGGCTGTGAGAGTCCGTCGACCTTTGGCTGAAAATAAGCTTAGTCCTTGACAATATCCTATCTCCATGCGGAAGCCATGGAAAGCCCTGGCTCTTGCTTGCAGAGGGGAGCAAAAGACCAGTCATTCATGTCCGGAAAGGTGGTCCACGCAAGGTGGAATCAATTGCTAAGGTGGGACAATTACTAAGCATGATAGCTTTTGAGCACATGAGTTTGTTGTATTCTGTGTCCAATTGCCTAAGGCGCAGTCCAGTGACATCCACATCCCGCTGCAAAGGCCGGTCCGTGCCTCTCGGCGAATCTCCACGTACTGGTGCAGACCCTCGGTACAAAAATGCCGACCACCTAGATGTCCCAGCAGTGGATGGTTGGGGTCATTCCCATTGGAATTGCGACCACTTTGAAATGCGACTGGAAAGCCTTCCCAAAGACGAAGCCTCACATTCCAAGGGCAGGTTCCCTGATATTGCACAAGTGGGTTGGTTGTCCAGCAGATCAAACCCTTTATAGTTCTTTTGCCGAAGCCCTGTTTGATGGAGACGTTCAGGTTGCGTATGTCCAAGAGGAATCTGTTGCCACAAACAAAGGGGATCAATTGGTTGTTCCAGGCAGTTTGAGGCACGGTCCACTTGCCGTTTGACTCTTTCTCGATTGGAAAAGGACCCCCTCTACTAGTGTAGAAACTGGCTCCCTGTATCGGAAGGCCCTGTGTTGCCCTGAAAGGAGGAAGGGTAAAGGGAGGACGCTGTTTCAAATCACCCACTAGCCGTCCAACAGCAGCCCCGTACCCAAAAATTTGTCAGCTAGCATTTCCGAAATTTCCGCATTTCTGCCGGAAGCCTCACCCTGACCCTATACATGCTATCATTAACCACGCTGTGCCATGATCGAAATTCCGTCTTGTTCACGTGTCCATGTCTTGTCAAACATTACCGATCCGCCCTGGGTGTCAACGCGGCAATCTGTGGCCAAGCCTTCTCCAGCGCGGTCCTAAATCAAGGCTTGCCTTTTGACTGGGGTGGGGCCAACCATGTAAATCGAGCATGTAGGTCGTAGCTGACAGCTAGACAAACAAGTGCCAAACAAACAAGCAAGCATACCAAACAAACAGCCAGATTAACTAACAACTAGCACCACAAAACCAACACGGAAACGGCTGCAACATGGGAACTCGAAACACGCTTGAATCTTGCCCCCACTAGGCGCAGGACAATCATGGCAGGGATCAGCACCAGGAAGATGGGACGGAAGCCTGAAGCAGGGCTGGGAGCTGAGTCTCACGCGCCCAGAGGTTTCCCATCGAAAAAGTAGCGCCTTTGGCTGCTTCAGCTGTTCGCCCAACACAAATTGTTCATACTCTGTGACATATCAAAAGAGGGTCCAATGTTTGGGTTGGACGAACCAGATGGGACCTCATTGGTTCAGCGAAAGGCACCCCTGACAAAAGAAGGAAAAAGATGCGCGCCACGTGGACAGCTCGGAAGTGGTTGATGCGCAGGGGTTGGCAGCACTAAAATGGGGTGGTAAAGGACTAGCTGAGAATTACTGAGAGGTAAACTCTCCCTGAGTGTGGTTGTGCGAGTGCCGGTCCCGAGCTCACCGATGTGTTTGGCCCCGGCTCCGTGCCGGGGACCACTACCGCTCCTCAGAAACCTCCCAAGGCTTTCAAAGGACTCAAGAAAATCAACCGGACACAGCCAACACGTGTTGGAGAGGCCCTACACGTCAACCCACTCAAAGAGGGGTCAAAAAGGGGTACATGTGGGTGGGACTTCAAAATAGGCAATCCCAGGAAGTCAAAAACCTGGAGGGACTTCTCATGTCCATGTGGACAACCCATGCGCGCCCAAACTATTTGCAGGCTTTCATGGCGAAGGTTGACGCCAAAAAAATAAGCATGGTTCGAATTGCAGTCTGCATTCCTCCCAAAGCAAGCAGCCTGTGGTCCAGTGGCCATGGTTCAACAAAAAAAACGATAAAAGCCCTTCGGGTTTAGCGTCACGTGAAGAGTGAAATGAACTCGCAACAGAACAAAATCATCTTCACCAAACAGGGTGAAGTCATTGCTCCCCCCTTCTCTTTAACATGGGAGCTTGGTTGTGTCGGCCTCCGCCAAAACCGTCCGCTACCAACAATATTTTCGGTTGGGATGAGTTGGAATGAACCCGCCGTATCCCAAGAGGGTTCCAACAAATTATCAGTTGCGGTCAATTCCAGGTTTGCAAAAGACAAGGCCCCAATTGTATCACCGAAGTGAGGACTCCACACCTCACTCTCGCCCATTCCCAAATTGGTGCCCGAGAAGAAGCAACATTGTGGGAGCATGGTCCAAGAGGAAAATCAATCATTGGGAATCTACTTTTGGTGCGTCTTTTGCACCCTTGAGTCCAGAGCCGCCCTTGTGCAATGATTCTGGTGACAAGAAGATTGGGTTCTACACCAAGGAATCAGCAACGCCCCCCTTTTTGGGGGGATTGTCCAAGGTATTCTAAAATGGACCACCCTCACCCTTGAGAAGAGGAATCCTCACTTTTTGCCTTGCGCGTGTCCAGTGTTTGGTAGACCCGAGTTTTGGAGCTACCAGCCTGCGGCCACCCAGAAGGCGTTCCAACTCGCCGGCTGCAGCCAGGTGATGAGAAACCTCCCATCGGCGCGAAGTACTGCCCTTTCCATACGCTACGAAGCCTGGGGAGTCCCAACCTAGTGACAACAAATGTGAACATTCTACTCTTACACTACTCTTACAACTCTTACACTAGGTCTTACACTCTGAATCCCGTGATGGGTCCATGCCCATTCTCAACCCAACTTGATCTTAGCAAATGTCCCCTAGGACCGAAAGGGGCATTGCAGTACAAAAGTCTCAAACCCGATGTGCCCAACAAACTTGCCATGGCCAACAGAGGGACCCCAAATGTGACTTTAGTTCTACATGTTCTACCAAAGCGGTTCAGTTCTCAAGACTTCAACCTGCTATCCCCATGCCGAAAACATTGCCGACAGTGGAACTGAGGGCAGGGCAAGACCAGGTAGTAGAGCAGAAAGATGAACAAGATCCTGGCAGGCCCAATTCCTCCATTGGGATAAGCTGGCAGATTTCCGTTGCAAGGATTCAACAATCTAGGCCATCCAATTACGCTCCCTTCGCAATCGCAATCTGGGGAGTCTGTTTGGTGAACGTTGCGTACTGCCAACAACAAGGCAAGGGAGTCACCACTTGTTTCTTCCAAGTAAGCAATGGACACCGAAACTTCAACATGCAGTTCAGCATGTTTGGCGATCTGAGTCCACTTGGGTTGTCCGGGATAACTTCATGGTGATTCGGCAAGAGGGCCTTAAGCTGAACGGCGGCTCACTCAATGCGACTAGAACTGGTCAAACTCAACCCACAAAAACGACCGCAGAACGTCTCCAGCTTAAAGTGATTCACCTCACTTTCTCAAAGGACTGGTTGCCAGGCACGGAAACCAACCTTGATTCCAGACCGACTTCTAAGTACTGACTCCCCTCGTGTTTGCCTTTTGAGTCGTGAGTTCAGCTTTCCAGCAAAGGCGAAAAGCGCTCAAAGCTCGTTGGCCCTTGGTCCAAAGCCCAAGATGCCCAATTGAGCTGGCAATTAGTAGCAAAATCTTTCAGGTCCCCAATTGCCAGAATCTGAGCCCTGACCCTTATCAACCGCAGGAGTAGAGCCATCTATTCAATTGGCTGGTGCTCAAAAAGTACGAGACGCAAGTGATTGGAAGAAACATAATCCTGAAAGGGTTTCTACAAATTGATGCGTGCTCCATGTCCAGGCTAACTTCACAAGCCAACTCCAAGAGTGAGCCAACTTGTTGTGCAACATCCTTTTGTTGGTTGGTGTTTGGGGTATTCTCGAGACGAAATAACGTTTGCTCCTGACCTCAGCTGTCTGCGGACCTGACACACTTCAGCTGGCGCGGTCCTGATGAGCCCGGGGCGCTTAGTGTCGCCCCAGGCCGTACGGACCTTCTCGTTCGGCTGCATTCCCAGCAACTCCTGGCTGAGAACCCGAAACAGGCCCCGAAATTTTCGGGCTGGTGATTTGAATCCATTGAACCTGTTCCTGCCCGTAGGCTGGACACATCCCCCGCATTGACTTTGGGCATCGCTTCCTTAAGGCTTTGACAGATTTCAGAGCTAGTCAGCAAGGGGCCGGACCTATGAAATCCGATTAAACATGGGCAGAAATATATGTCTTCGCAAATCGTTACCTTCCAATGGGAAGCATCTCAGATTTTTTGTTGGGAAACCGAGACACACTGAAACCAAGAGGCAACCATCCATGAAAGCACCATCTGTAGAGGGCCTGGTTTTGACAAACGGCCTGGCCAAGGCAACGCATCTGGCTTGCCACAAGTGTGGCCCGCGTGAAGCTGTGAACTCGTGAACCCTTGCGCCGCAGCCTTTGGCAGAGAAAGTATGACCATCACCAATATCTCACCAGACTGATTTGACAATTTGCCAACATCATCCCGATCCTGGTCAATGAAGCACTTGGTTCGCCTCTTGTTGGACAAGTTGTACTCCTCGTAGTTGTGCACCTCCACCTCGAAGACAAGGCGTTCCCCAGCATAACAGCAGAAAATGAAAATATATTGAAAAACACTCAATTGAAAAGGCGATGCTTGAACAAAAAACAAAGTGTACGATTGCTGGCGGCCACACCACGCAAACACGCCACGCCACGCCCCAGGTTGTTTTCAGGGGACTGGTCACCAGATGATTGAACAGCACATGCAGCTGGGCGAGGAATCATCCACAAATCAGGAGCCAAGCGGGTAGCTTTCCAAGGCCTCTCAAAAAAGTTGCAGACAGAACAAATCCAAAGGGCAGTTGCGATCATGTCTGGTTGGGACAGGTTTTGATGGTGGCTCAGCTGACACCTGGCTGCATGGGCGATTGACCAAATCGTTGAAGGGATCCTGCACATGTTTGTGGAAATGCCTCGTTCAGCGATATCAAAGTGGGCCATACCTATGACTACTTTATCGCTTTAAAGTGACTTTTCTTTAGAACATGGACCCAACGCCTACATCAAATTAAACATCAAATGCTCATGCGACAAAAAGCATGTGAACGCAATGCTGGCTAAAGCTAACCCAACAATAACAAAAAGCACCCACTAAACGGGAACCCCATTAATCAGGTGTGAGAGCCCACACAACCAACAGTGGACAATTGGATTTCTGTAAAACAAAACATGTCCTCTACAAAAGGGTTTCCTTTGACCTCGGACAAAAAGCTGGTTTGTGGGTAAGCAATCGCTTGAGTTTCAAGATTAAATCTTAAAGGTTAAGACCTGCTTCAGCAGAATCTAGCGGCAGGGTCTTTGGGGTCCCGGGTGGTTCTTCATCTTGGGGGGAAACCAACATGGAACCCGCCATCATGAAGAGAAAACCATTTCCCACAACCATGAAACCTTTGGCCCCTTGATTCAGCTGCGCCGCCGGCACCACGGCTTCCCTTTCATCATCAAGTCTGTCCTTGCGCTCCCAGCAGTTCACCTGCCCGACTTGCGGAAGCCTCCCTGGAACCCCAAAACGGGCAAGAAGGCTGGGCTGCTCAAAATATTTGCAGTGTGAACCAAGTGTAAACCAAGGCCAAATTTGTCTTTGAACAGCCCGGCGTTTACTCCCCTTAAGAATGACGATAAAAGGAACTCGAGGAAAGGGACCCTAAATTGAGATTGTTCCACGCATCCATCTTTGTGTGGGGCATGGGTCGCACGTACGGAAATCGACAAGGAAACCTGATGAACCCAACATGTCTAGGTTCTTGAATATCAACCGAGCAACCAACATGATGAAGTAGCCGTCATCTCTTTGAAACTTTGACTCCCAGCCACACTGCGAAAGCAATGACTGTGTAGCTTGTTGAGTTTGCACGGCTGGTTTGGTCGGCAGAAACTCGATCTGTTGGTTGGTTTGCAAGGCGCAGCAGGCCCACAACAGGGTCCCTTGCTGAACGTTTGTTGGTGCTTGTTGATGTTTGTTCTCGTGTGTGCTGATCCTTGATTGTTGCTTTTGTTCCGGTGTTTCTCCAGGGATCATTGCCTTAGCGAACTATGAGGACCCCTGTTGTCAGCTTCTTCCCCAACTGCAGTTGATTGAGTTGGCGGTGTGGAGGGCCCTTGGTTCGGCGTGTCTCATTCTCAGCCGCGGAGCCTCTGGCAGCACCTCCTGCGGCTCCGGGCGGCAGCTCCATGCCACCTCGTAGCCTGGAACGGGTGCGGCTGGGCGGGAATAACGGGAGTCAAAAACGACACGCCCACCGTCCACCTTGGTATCTTCTCAACCCCGGCATGGTGGCCAAAAACATCATTCTGCACCCCTGCCTCCCACCAAAAGAGAACAAAAACAGAAAGTAACAAACTGAATGACTGCCATAGCAAGAACAGTGGTGATATGCGGTTGTCTCAAACTGGGCGGGGTTCCTGCTGCTGTGTGTGTGTGTGTGTGCGGGTTCCTGCTGCTGTGTGTGTGTGTGTGCGGAGTGACAGAATGCCCTGTCACCACTATGAGTAGCAGGGGGCGTGGCAGCCATCTTCCTAGCCACGCCAACCAAGCTATGGAAGTTTGGCCGGAAGCGTTGAGGGTCGCCTCAATGCGTACCTGCAAGTGATCTCTGAATGTCTTTTTGGCCCCCTTGGTTGCGGCGCTGTTTGTGCTTCTTGTTCTTTCCTGTAACGTTTTCGTTTCTAAAGTGAAGCCAAGTGACTTGCAAGCAGAACTCAGCCGAGACTCATCAGTTGTACTCGAGACTCATCAGTTGTACTCGAAAGATTAGCACCCTCCATCTGGAGCTTAAGTGTGTACACCCCATTCATGGGGAATCCTCGGGTGTACCCATTGTGTGACCCCGGGCCGGCTTTGTCGGAAAATTTGACCTCAACGTTCTTATCATAGAACAGCGGAATTTCACATTTAACCAGGAACGAGGTTTCACTAAAGGGAAGACAGCTGTCAGATCATAGAGACGTCTCACCATAGCTGCTGATGGCTGCTGACTTGAACTTGCATTGGCTTGCATTTTGTCGGATTCGTTTCTCTCACCACAGCTGCTGATGGCTGCTGACTTGAACTTGCATTGACTTGCATTTGGTCGGATTCGTTTCTCTCACCTTTGCTGCTGATGGCCGCTGACTTGAACTTGCATTGACTTGCATTTTGTCGGATTCGTTTCTCTCAAGCGTGATGATCGTGACAGATCCAGGACTCGGCGCAGACGTGATCGGAGTCCTTCCCCTCAAGCTCGTAAAGCACGCCGACGCGAACACAATGACAACCAGGTCTCGGAAGGCATGGATTGGAACAACCTGGTATCCTGGCAACACAATTCCGGCTACAACTCCACCAACAATTTCCCGGTGATGCCGACCAATTATCAATCGATTCCAAAGCCCACGCAGCAGTTCCATCATTCACCGATCAACTACATGATGCCGGTTCCTCCAGAGCCCACGCCAACGAAGTTCATGACGCCCGTGATGCCGCCACCGGTCACTCCCTCGCAAACTACACCATCACCTGGATACCCTGCAGCCCTGCCGGTTCGACCTCAGAAAGCCTGGCTTACACCATCGGCTGACTGGACACCTGGAGATGGCATGCTAGATATCAACCAGCTCTACAACTTCAGCCTGCCCATGACGGTCGCCAACACCCCGCACAACAACCTACGTGACATGTCCGGCATGGACATTCGTGACGTTCGCCTGGTTCAGGTCATTCATGGGGGCCTCACCAACTGGCTGCTCCAACCGTTTGCTCACGGCAGATTCGTGACGTGGGAAGGCTTTCGCACTCGCACCGAGGCCTTACTTTGGAGTACCTGTTCCAAACTACTACGACGATCACAGTCGATCAACCTGCTTACCTTGGAAAAGGACCTTGCTAGCTCACTGGGGCTCAACCTGGACGACTTCAATCAGCGGATCAAGGTTCATGACCATTTGGCCAACTTGGTACTTCAGTTTCTTCAGCAACACCACGCAACTCTCACGCCTTCTACCCAGACGGATGACATGGTCAAGAAGTACAATGATCTAAATCGTGCTCATGAGTTGCTCCAGGCTCAGTATTCAGCATCGTTACGCGCTTCGACTTCCCCCACGGTGCCAAACCAGAAGGATGACGCAGAGTTGGTTACACCACCACTGGTCAACCACACACAATCCTCGTCACCTCCCAGCTCCCTCCCTACGGCCAGCGCAGCGGCCCTTGATGGCAAGTCGTTTGATGGCGCGGTGCAACCCCGGATCATTCAGTCTCTTCACGGACTTTCTTCACCGCCTTCCAAGCCGGCGGCGTCACAATTGCTCACCATGCACAGCACGCCGGATGACGTCATCAAGTACTACACATGGACTAGTGATCAGCCACGCTTGTATCTCAAGCAATCGCCCACAACCACCACTTTGGCGTCATTGATCAAGTGGGCCAATCACCCGTCCCGTCTCAACGGCAACAAGTCCTTGGATTCCATGGCGATGCAACTCCTTCAGGCGCGTCAACGCATGCCAAAAGGAGACGCACCTACGTTTGCGGCGATGGCGGCTCTGTGGGGACTGGAGCCCGGCTACCTCACCAAGCTCACTGACAAGGCGCTGTGTCACCTCATCGTGACCGCCCGCTTACTCAGTGGGTGAGCAGTCCCCTTCGTTCACTTATGAGCCCGGAGCGGCAGCTGTGTCACGGTTGAGGAAAGGTTCAAAACTCGTCCGTCCTCTTCTTGCTTTGCACTTGTTTGATGATGCGCTTGTCTGTGCTTGCGTTGTCATTTGCTTGATATTAATTGCCGCTTGCATTCATGTCGCCGCCACACTGTAGATTTCATTGGTTGCATGTTCACCATGTTGGCTGAGCTTCGCCGCTGTGGAATCTATGATGATGTTGCACAATGGCATTCTCTGGACACCTTTCTACACTCGTTGACAATGTTCTCTACGTGCTGGCAATACTGCTTTCCTGGACTACCACCACCGTCGATACCAATAGATGAATATGAGTCAGTTGCACAACTACCTTGGTTGGGCCTTATTCTGGAAGTACTAGTTGTGGTCCGGATTGCACTTCAGATTCCGATTCACGCCATGTCACAATCTTACCACACTGTGGCCAACAGGTATGAACTTCACAGGTGCCGGTGCACGGCCTATTTATTGATCAGTTTCTTGCAGCGTCTCATTTCTCAAGATTATGGATATGTCCCAAAGTTCTTCGAGGTTCTTCACTTCTACAAGACATCTCTGTTGTGCGAAATTATGCATTCCACTTTTGCAGACACAAGACATCTTCGCTCATTACGGACACGTTTTCCGGACCTCTATGACTTCATTCACGATCCAGGTCATCATCAACAACCATGCGTTTACATCCGACTTTCTCCATGGCACACGCCATACTACGTTGGTGCAACTGATCAGGACGTTCTACGACGAGAACACTCACGCAGTCGCAAATTTCTACAACTACTTCGGGGACGTCATGCCTTCTTCGAACCTGCACTTCACTACTGGAAGCGCACCAACACTTACTGGCTTTTCTGTGCCATTCCGGTTGAGATCAAACTTCCCATTTCCTCGGTTTGGGTCCAGGAAAGCAAGTGGCAATACCTGCTGCGTCCGCATTTGAATGCGCCCTGGGTACATAGACTTCTTCGAAAGGTGGGCTTCCGGGAGCATCTAGTTGACTTTCGACGTCATTCGTTGTCGTCTCCCACCTCGCTCGGTCTACACAAACGTTTTCGACGACGACTACATCCGGATCTTCAACGGCAATTACGACCTGAAATGTTGGATGACATTCAAGCGCACTCCACTCTTTATCAGCTGGGATCCAACACAGGCGCATCGTTCCAGGCCATGCGAGACCTACTGTCGGCGGCTTTTCCTCCCACTCAGCTCTACTACTTCCTGCGACTCTCCGTCTTCGTCAACGAGCCCTTTCGTTCAAAGGCACAGAAACTCCTCGCCCAGGTGATGCGCAAACGACAGCTCCAATCACCAAGCACTTTGACACAACTACTTCTACCGCCTCTACATGTACGGAATTGGAAAGCTCAACTTGGCACGTGGTTACAACGTTGGGTCGCTTCACATCGTGACTTGTTCCCCTCCCTATTTCTTCCAAAGATCCGGGTGGTGGAAACTCGCAGTGCCACTTTGGGAGACAGGATCTACAACTACCGCACATGGCAACGCAGATGGACTCCTGACGTATCTTTTCCGTGTCGCTGTTCGGACATTGATGATCACCACCTACACCGTGCGCATGAACATGCAGTAATGGTGGATGAGTTCTCACGCATCAATGCGGACATCGACATGGATATCATGGCCGCGTCCATGAAGGATCAGTATTTCGGCGATGTTGACTTGTCGCGTTTTACCACACAGCTTCGCAAACTAGCTCGTCGGTGGCATGTACATGGCTCCAGTCTTCTTACTGATCTACGGCCTGTTTTGACTCAGTTGATTGATGCCCATCGATCCAACCTTCAAGATCGTGCTTATTGGTCATCCACATCACTACAACGAACCGTGGCTTCTCTGTCCTCGTGGGTTGTAATTCCCGCGGATCATTTTCCCTCTCGTGTACATGTGATTTGCCCTTCGTTGTTCGCCATACTGATGCACAAGACCTTTTGCTCGGGAGAAGTCTTTTCGCTGTGTCGAGAACCTGCAGCATCTTTTCGCTCTGAAGTGGTCACTACGATACCTTCCCTCCTACATCAGCGCTACGCGTGGGGACTTCGACTTCAAGCACCGTTGCCTACAGCTCGCATCCTTCCAAAGCCGACCAAGGACTGGCAGAAAGCAAGACCCATCATTTCTTTCTTTCGCACGTGGGCAGCTCCCCTCCTCACGGTCTTCGGCGCCCTCATTTTTGTACTTACCAAAGTTACCTTTCCCGACATACCAGGACAGCTTTCGGTCCAAGAACTTGTCCAACAGCTCTGGGACGCGCTGTCAAAGGCAGATCCCGCCGAATACATCCACCTGGTGTCTCAGGACCTGTCCGGTTTCTTCACGTCCATTCCTACGGAGCGTTTCCATCAGGCACTACAGGTGCTTCTTCATCGTTATGACCAAGTAGTTGGCCTCCGCCGATCCTCACAATGGTCGGTGTACGAATTGAAGTCAGATCATCGACGCCGTATGTTCAAAGGAAAATGGCGCCGTCAAACGAAGGTCCCTCGAACCTTTCGTGAACAAGA